CGGACGACACAAGTGTACAATGAGATTAGATTAGTTTTAGTAGAGGTTTTACGGCACTCGCAACTGCATAGGTTCATAAGAGCGCCAGAAGATTAGAAGAGTTACAAGAGAGTAACAAACATAAAAAAGAAGAAGTGGAGACAAGGACGATAGATGTTTGATTGGAAAGAAGAAGCAAACCACACCAGAGCACCCACCAACCACCCACGGTGTACAATGAATCAATTGGTCAAATGATGGAGGAGGTTTAGGAAAGTTGACCGATTGATTGACGGAGTAGATGTTTTACAGCACTATCGACTCAGTTTTGGTCATGTAAGTGCCAAAAAACATTTTACCACCGGGCTTAGGAAGGAAGTAATGAGTCAAAGCAAGGTTTGGAAGAGAGAGAATGAGTGAAAGTGAGGTTTCGAAGAGAGTGAATGAGTGAAAGTGAGGTTTCGGAGAGAGTGATAGAGTCAAAGAAAGGTTTGGAAGAGAGTGAAAGAGTGAAAGAAAGATTCGGAAAAAAGTAAATCAGTCAAAAAAGATTTGAAAGAGAGTAAAAGAGAGAGAATGAGTGAAAGAAAGATTTGGAAGAGAGAGAAGCAGTCACGTGGACGTTTAAACAAAAAAGAACCAAGTCAAGAAAAAAAAGTTGGGGGAAAAAAAATTGAATCAGTCAAAAGAAAAGTTGTGACAAATGTAAATTAGTCAATGGTTGGTTCACACAGAGCAGAGTTGAGGAAAGGCCAAAGAGGTTATATATAATCCTAGAGCTCGCGCGCGGAAGTGACATCACACATATCAGACATGGGGGCCTTCTCACCCTCATCTACATGGCCGGCGGGCACCCATTTACATGAACAGTCTGAGCCCCCACCCCGCTCCCCATGATCTCTAGTAGGCGGCTATTAATTAAACACCACTCTGCCCCCATATTTCAGTACAAGCTTGTAGATTTCCTCCTGAGACCACCGAGACTTCTCCACGTGAATCTCGAAAAGTACTCACCCACTCGTTTTTTGAACTGCGCATGTCTTGCCCTTGAAGTTCAGCGTCCCAGAGTGGGCACACGCACCCCCCCTCATTTACAAGGGAGACATCACTGCTACGAACTCTAGTACTAAATATAACCTCTTTGGGATACACGTAGCCCTCTTTGGGCGTGGCAGACACCCATTCCTAGGTTCAGACAGAGTTCAAACGGGAGACTTACTCTGGCACTGGTATCCCTGGTAGCCCACGCCCCAGATGAGATGGCCGCAGAAGTTGCAAAACGTCGATACGTAGAAATGTTGGAGGGTGAACTGGTGGCCCTTGATTGCCTGAAACAACAAGGCAAACACTGCTTTAGGATTAAGATTTAGTGAGAGTTTAACGGTGCTTGCAGTACAATAAGGTAAAATAAGTACTGAAGAACAGAAGTGTTACAAGAGAGTAACAAACTCAAAAAAGAAGGAGGAGAGATAAGGACAGTAGATGTTTTAGTTTTAGTAGAGGGTTTTGCGGCGCTCGCAACTGCATAAGGTCATATGAGCGCCAGAAGATTAGAGGAGTTACAAGAGAGTAACTAACATAAAAAAGAAGAAGGGGAGATAAGGATGATAGATGTTTGATAGGAAAGAAGAAACAAACCACACCAGAGCACCTGCCAACCACCCACAGTAGATGTTTGATAGGAAAGAAGGAGCAGCAAACCGTACCACAGTACCCGCCAACAACTACTATAGGTTTTAGCTTTTGTGTTTTACAGCGCTTGAAACACAAATATGTCACATAAGGCCATAGATAAATAGTATCACTAGACAGTAAAATGCAAAGAAAAGAAGAAGGAAAGATAAGGACCATAGACGTTTGACAGGACAGAAGGAGCAAACCATATCAGAGCACCTGCCAACCACCCAGAAGAAGAAAGATACAGCCGTCGAGTGTGTAAAATTTACTAAAATGCTGCAATGTTGAATGACCATAAAATGAAATGACTTGTCAAGAGTCAAGAAAGTTGTTCTGAAGAGATGTCAGCGCATGCGCACATGCCCACACACTCACACGGACATGTACAGGTACACACGCGTGAATACACACTCACACATGTATATACACACACCCACACATACACACACACACACCACCGTCCCTCCTTACCTTGGCCCTACTAGAGTGCGAGCCAGGGAACTTGATGCTCCGCTTGTCTTTCATCTTGAAGGTCTGCACGCACACGCACGCACACACTCACACACACACACCTATTCACACCCACCTATACACACACACACACCCTCACACACACACACCCACCTACACACACACACCTATACACACCCCACCGTCCCCCCTTACCTTGGCCCTACTAGAGCGTGAGCCGGGGAACTTGATGCTTTGCTTGTCTTTCATCATAAACGTCTGCACGCACACACACACTCACTCACACACACACACACACACTCTCACACACTCCCCCCTCCCTCCCTGACACAGACACACACACACACACCCCATCGTCCCTCCTTACCTTGGCCCTACTAGAGCGCGAGCCGGGGAACTTGATGCTCTGTTTGTCTTTAATTATGAAGGTCTGCACGCACACACTCACATACACCCACTTATTCACACACACACACACACACACACCTATACACACGCACACACACACGCACACACTCACTCACACACCCCATCATCCCTCCTTACCTTTGCCCTACTAGAGCGTGAGCCGGGGAACTTGATGCTTCGCTTGTCTTTCATCATAAACGTCTGCACGCGATCGAGCGTGGCCGAGTGGGAGGACTTGGAGCCCACCCAGGGTCGCAGGAATGATGCAAGGGCCCAGCCCGTGGCCTGGTCGCGGTCCGACACCGTGCGGTTGTTGTCCTCCAGTCTGGGGGGACACACAGACAGACATCATCATCACTTTGTTTGTTGCCTTTAGCTTAGTTTTAAGTAAGATTTTACAGTACTTGCAACACAATAAGGTCATATGAGCGCCAGAAGATTAGAGAAGATCACAAGAGAGTAACAAACATAAAAAAGAAGAAGGGGAGATAAGGACGATATATGTTTGACAGGAAG